ATGCCGGATGTCACCTGGGAACTAGCTCCTAGGAAGAAGCATTAAGGACACGTTTTTTTATTCGTAGAAGGCTATCGAACTTTTCTCGTCTACTACAGACTAGCGGTACTAGGAACCCGGTCGAAGTTAACCTTATAGAGTAACGACTTTTAGGAAAGAGTGAGGCCATCCAGGAGAGGATGTATCATTGGGTACCACGTTCATCTTGCCACTAACGTGCTTGATGTCCATATATATTTCTATGAAGACCGATACCGTTTTCGGTGACAGAGTAAAACACTTGTTTGCTAAAGCCGGAAGTCTGTGGTTCAAGTCCAACCTAAGCCGGATTCTTTCCGTCCATACTGTCTTGGTTCAAATCATTCTAGAGTTTCGTCAGATACGCACTGCTGATTTCCAGAGAGGCCAAAGTAGTCCTTCGCACACTGCCCCGTGGCCTTATAGCATAGAGTGGTTCCATTCACAGAACGAAATACCGCTTTGTGTTGGGTATGTTTAGCCTTCACATTTTTCGGCTTCAAATGTAGTAATCTGTGAGAGGCACTAATGTAGTCGTAAGCACGAAGGAATAAGACTGGCCAACAAACGGACGAATGCATATTCTCACTGAGAACATTGACCATTTTATACGCAAGCCGTCGTAACGACCAGTAGAAGTCGAGTCTTTAACCTGATTCAGAAAGCAAGACGTGTATGCACGTATCGATTCCTCCTGAGTGTGCGTTGAATTAATAACTCAGTTGCAGTAACAACTTTTTAAAAGTTTATTATCGATTGTTAAGTTAACTATGTTCATATCAGCTAGACAACGTACGCAGGAAATGTAGTTCGCGAAACACTTTTTTTCTCCCATTACAAGCTGTATCGTAACGGAATTGAAAGAGCGTTGGAGAAACTATGAATTGAAAAGTTCCTAGTATTTGTGTGTGGTAACTCCTGTCTTATATATATATACATATATATATATATATGTATATATATATAAGACAGGAGTTACCACACACAAATACTAGGAACTTTTCAATTCATAGTTTCTCCAACGCTCTTTCAATTCCGTTACGATACAGCTTGTAATGGGAGAAAAAAAGTGTTTCGCGAACTACATTTCCTGCGTACGTTGTCTAGCTGATATGAACATAGTTAACTTAACAATCGATAATAAACTTTTAAAAAGTTGTTACTGCAACTGAGTTATTAATTCAACGCACACTCAGGAGGAATCGATACGTGCATACACGTCTTGCTTTCTGAATCAGGTTAAAGACTCGACTTCTACTGGTCGTTACGACGGCTTGCGTATAAAATGGTCAATGTTCTCAGTGAGAATATGCATTCGTCCGTTTGTTGGCCAGTCTTATTCCTTCGTGCTTACGACTACATTAGTGCCTCTCACAGATTACTACATTTGAAGCCGAAAAATGTGAAGGCTAAACATACCCAACACAAAGCGGTATTTCGTTCTGTGAATGGAACCACTCTATGCTATAAGGCCACGGGGCAGTGTGCGAAGGACTACTTTGGCCTCTCTGGAAATCAGCAGTGCGTATCTGACGAAACTCTAGAATGATTTGAACCAAGACAGTATGGACGGAAAGAATCCGGCTTAGGTTGGACTTGAACCACAGACTTCCGGCTTTAGCAAACAAGTGTTTTACTCTGTCACCGAAAACGGTATCGGTCTTCATAGAAATATATATGGACATCAAGCACGTTAGTGGCAAGATGAACGTGGTACCCAATGATACATCCTCTCCTGGATGGCCTCACTCTTTCCTAAAAGTCGTTACTCTATAAGGTTAACTTCGACCGGGTTCCTAGTACCGCTAGTCTGTAGTAGACGAGAAAAGTTCGATAGCCTTCTACGAATAAAAAAACGTGTCCTTAATGCTTCTTCCTAGGAGCTAGTTCCCAGGTGACATCCGGCATACACACTCACTGTATAAACAACCATTTGCTTAAACTCCTGCTTTGAGTGTAGTGAGAACTCTTGTCCCTGTTCTGAAGTCTAACCGCACATCATACTGATCGATTTATTATTCATTATTACTACTGTCTTTTAGCATGGGTAATGAACCGGATAAAAGAATTTCGTTCATCACTTAAAGTGCTTTCAGTTCAGCGAAGACCTAACATTTTGTCGAAATGCTTTGTCGCTTTGCAGATGACCAGACGCGCGTTATCTTAAAACAAGGCACTGGAGACTACATTAATGCCAGCTACGTAATCGTGAGTTCACTTATTCGCTTTCGGATGCTTGCGATATCCTTGTATAGATAGCCGTGGGCTACTTTTACATTAACTAGATGGTAACTATTGCTTTCCTGAACTTTTTTTTATTTCGAACAGCAAGCCATCCACTTCATTGCCACTTTATTGCCAGACTACAATCCTTGCTATCTGCTTCCAACATACTGCACTTCTCTCTCGGTTCAAGGAAGGAACTAACTAACATAATCGGGATAGACTGATGCTTTCTATCTCGCTAACTGAGCATATTCCACTAATTTTAGTTAGGCAAAGTAAATCCCTCAACTTCGACTGTCTGTGTATGCCGAATAATCAAATCCTCGACTTTTTCGGCCTGAATTTGTGGCTGGAGATAGACTGTTTTTGTCAGTGTATAAGATAGCTATTTTAAATGTTCATCGTTTTCCCTTGACCAGGTAAGTGGGTTAACCTTCACGGTACAAACTTGACAAGTCCCTGACCTCGTCTACCTTTATTTCGACTCAACCAACACGTGCCCACATCGAAGTCGTGTGATCTTGTACACGTTTTCATTCCAAAGGCGGACGAAATGGTCAAAATAGTTTAAAGCGGCAGTCAGCTCGATATTCTTTCCATAAGAGGAGTAAGTGAAGTGGGAACTTTCACAAACTTAAACAGAATTTCCACTTCACTTTGAGTGGATCGAAGTTTAATCCCGTTACATATGCATCATAGACTGCACTCAAGCAGGAGTTTCAACAATCTATGGTCTTGAATTCTGTTTCTAAAATTTGTCCTCGATTTGCTGGTGCTTCACACCTCGTATTACATCAATAAGATTTTTTACTACTTTACGAATCAGAGCATACCACTCTAGTAATAATCTATATTTTGTGAAATCAGAAACAAGCATCTTTGCGAGTATTTGGACGTGTTTGCTTTTGTTCACTACTGGGTTCTCTACTGGTTGGGATGGGAGCGCTCCGGTCATTTGTTTCACTCCCATCGAATTTCTGCGGTGCTTGTCAAGATGTGCGGGGCTAAACATAAGCAGATTGTGTGCATATACCATCCTTAATTTGTTATATGGTAAGTTTTTTCCAATTACTCCGTTTTTTGTTTCCCCTAGATGGACTTTCCTAAAGCTGGCTTTTCGCTAAACTACATTGCTGCCCAAGGTCCACTACCGAGCACCTATGGTGACTTTTGGCAAATGTGTTGGGAGCAACATGTGAGCGTTGTGGTCATGCTCACGGCAGTCAGCGAAAAGGGGAGAGTGAGTCATTCCTATCACTCTTTGTTGCCTGGTTTGTTGTCCACGTTGCCATGAAAACACACTTTGTCTCTCATCAACGGCATTGATAACATTGTCAATATTAGTCTCTGAGCCTCTTCCTTGATTGCTGAAAGTGATCCAGAACTTGGCGTACTCCAATGGACAGTAATATTTTCTTTTTAGATTTACAATTCGCTTGTCTGCTGCACAGAAGAACCCATATTTTTTCTTTAAATAGGCTGTGGGGCTCAGATAGAATGGTCAGTTGAGTGTTGGTTGAATACCCGCTACACGTATCAGAGGTTCACGCCTATCTGGTGATCCTGGAGAAAAATGAAACCTATTTGAGTTGCCAAGGCGTTTGAAGCAACTTTGCAAGTAGTGATGGGTTAGAGGTTGTTCTCCAACTTTGGGGACGCAGGAATCCCACTATTCAGGTACACCACAGGGTCGAAATAAGCAGCCTGAACGAACGAACAAAGAGTGAAAAAGTTCAGGTGCACTTCTAGGAAATGCGTAGCGTGCAATCAAAGTTGTTTCATTGATGATTCTCCTACTTGACTGAGAATATAGCTTTATTTCCCTTGAACCAAAGCGCACAATCGTTTGTTCCTTCTAAAAGGGGGTCCAGGCACATGATGCAAACGAACAGGCAGCGTCCTTCGATGGAGCGCGAGCTCTCGAACTCTCGAAATTTCTGTAGGGATTCCAAATTTTCCTCTGCACCATATATGCTTGAATATGAATTCAAGTTGTTCCAGTCATCCGTCTCCTCTACTTCTATGCTTTGGTAAAAAATTGAAATTTTCAGCCCATTGAGATTAAAAATTTCGTGTGAAACGCACATTATATAGAACTGTTGAGTCTATCGATTTATCAGGTCGTTTTTACGTATTATTGTCCGCTCCAGGTGAAGTGCCATCAATATTGGCCGGATTTGGGTCAAACTCTCAGGTTTCCTACCTCCAATCCCAACCCGATTTCCTCACGATCGTCCGCGGGACATCCCACCTCAACAGAACTTCAGATACAGACTGTACAAGAAGAGGTAGGTTGCGGTTTTGTCATCTGGAAGCTACTTGTAAATTTGCTGAGGATAACGAACGAAAACGTTTTTGTCCTCTCTTGTCTGGTACCGAATTCCTTCACACAGAGTTTGTCTACACAATATATAACTATGCTCGAATTAACCAGCGTAACAAGTTTTCAGTTATGAAGCTAATTTGTGGCAAACTTGTACAACTAGTTCCACTTAACTGTGTCAATGAGTGTGGGTCATTACGCTTAAGTTACCGATTTGGCAATTACCGGGTATTGTGTGCTGGGATAAACGACCTGGCCATCCACTAGTAGCCAATCTGCTGGTTGGTTGTGCTCGTCAGTTATGCCCAACTGATATTACAGGATCCTCATTTGTTTATGTTAGAACTGCTGGCTGGCTCAGTTGGCGAAATCATCCAGGTTTCTCATCCCTCTTCATCCTACTGGTTGCATCCAAATTTAAGGGACAAGACCCAAATTACCTCCTTCTAATCCAGTCCAGTGTGGTCAATTCCAACAACTACCTTGTGCACTGTTTCCCTCTTCCCGATTATTAGCAGTACTCTGCTTCCTTTCGTGACTTCCATTCGTCCCATGTGTACAGGATCCTGTCCACGCATTGTTTCTATCTCCTTGATAGTCTGGGGGCCTGGCTTATTCTTATGGTTTCGTGCTCATTAAATGGACCCAAGGTTAACTTTGCGTATACCAAAAGCGTAGATAATTCAGCTGGTCGGTTGAGTTGCAAATATTTATTAGCTAGCAGAAGTGGCACATCGGTGAAAGTTCGTGAACAACCGGAAGACTCATGGATCACTTTTATTTGGTTGAAATGCCTTTCAGGAAGAGGCATGACAGATTTGTGACTTTACACATCAGCGGTAAAAACAAGAGAAAATCACGCATCTTCAGGTGATCTTGATCGTCACAAACCCCGAATGCTCTGGAATTTCACGCAGTCCAAAGTGATCATGTATGTATGCGCTAAAAGTTCAACAAGCAAGCAAACAAGCAATCCAGAACGTGTATTTGATTAAGCGTGTCACACATCATGAACTTCGGTTAACAACTTTCGTTTGTCTTCCATCTCTTCAGCAGTCTGTACTCTGTTGACCTACTTTTACCTTTGTCTCACATAAATTCCCTCATCTGTTCGGTGTCTTTCGTTGTTGTCCGTCCGAGCCGTGTACCAGTACCTCGTCGAATCTTCACAGGGGTTTCTGCTTTTCGAGTTTTTCATCAAGTGACATCCATTCTGTATGAACTGTTGCGTTATGGGACAGAAACCTCCATAGATCGCATTTCTGTCGGATTAGTACATGATCCTGGATAAACTGTTCCCACGCCACCGTGAGATGTTGAAAGGCATGCAGTCCTCATTGTCTGGAGAAACCACTCCTTAAGGTGATCACTGGGATGTGTTACTATGGTGAACTCCGTCCCACGTGGGACCAAGTTAATTATGATGGGATCACCTTGTATCACAGTTGTCCAACCGATAAACCGTTTAACTCCAAAGCAGCGAAACCTGCTTTTGAAGTTGTCTGGATCTCTCCTGAAAGAACATAGGTCCTCTAGATGTTACTGAGTTTATTCATAAGCATTTCAGCCTACCTCTCAGCTCCCTAGAACACAAATTACTTTGAATATGATTATACTCGAAGAAAAGTTACTCTTGACTGAGCAGTTAAAAATCATCTCCTCCCATTCACCTATTTTGAAGGTTGCCGGAGATTTTGCATTTCGGGAATTTACTATAAGCCAGCTTTCTCTGACGGCTCAACGTTCCAGTACATTGCAGAATAATTCAAACCCTAAAACGACAGAGTCCCGTCGGATCACGCAGCTTCAATATATTACGTGGCCAGACCATGGAGTTCCGAACAATCCGACAGATTTTATCTCGTTTGTGGAACGGGTGCGCGATAAACGTGGTGCAGATCCAGCTCCTGTTGTAGTCCACTGTTCAGCTGGAATAGGACGTACAGGTGTCCTCATAACCATGGAAACAGCCATGAATTTGATCGAACGGGGACATCCAATTCGACCCCTGGAGCTGGTTCAATTAATGCGGTCGCAAAGGGGCCTTTTAATTCAAACAACGGTACAGTATTCATTTAGCTTGCAATTTTTTAGTTACTTCACATCGAGAATGATTTTTCGTGCATCTCGGCTTCCCACACCTTCAGCGCATTCAAAAGTTGATCCTTAATCGGTGCTCAGAGCCTTTTAGACCTCTGATAGACCTTGGATTTAGAAATAGTTTAAATGTCGTCCATCGTTATCCGGCTAGCGTTCATTCATGATGTTCTCCAAAATGAGCGACTTCAACTGCAAAACGAACATCGAACAGTTCTGATGTCTAGAAGCGCGTCTCCATAAAACTATTATCCCATATGACAGTTCGAGTCTATGTTGACTCAGGATAGCAGGTTTCACCAAGCGCATCCTAGTCGGCCATGTACCTCTATGCATGTACTTACACGGTGCGTAATTTTGAAATATATCAGATAGAATCCCCTTTGGTGGTGATCCTTCCTCGAAATGAGGCTCCCACGCCTCGGGATCGAAAAGGAGGCATCTTCTCGTGGTCCATATGGCCGTTTTACTGCCAGTGTGGAAACACGACAGTGTCATATGCCGTTGGCCAGAATTCATTCGTGAAAATACTTCACGTCACAGGCGAAGGTTTTGAACTAATCCGCCACCTCAGAGAAATGTTATGCACTGTGCTTGGCTTGGTCAATAATTAATTCTCGAATGTGCATACAGTGTTTGTTGGAGCGGTTCACAATGACACGACCGACTGGAGGCAAAAAAAATCAAATGATCGGATAAAAACATACATATTAATTTTTGTTTTCTACGCACAATTAATTGATGACAATCTTGACTGGTATTTCTTTGGTGAGCTGGAAATTGCGAAAAACACTGGTTCGGGGCTGTTGTATCGTGGGTGGCCGTCTATTGGTTATGCCTGCACTGGGCCTACCAGACTACGCGATAGGGAGAAGACAGAGAACTGGGGACACGGCTGTAGTGCCAGGACAAAACATACAGAGCGTCTGTGTAATATATAGGAAGACTAAATGGCCAAATATGGTCGTCCACTTGTGCATCCCGCACAGCCAATGGCGATGTTCCGGTCGTGAACAAGCTCAGGCCCACAACGCTGGTTGTATGTTGCTAAGCCGTGTTTGGTGAGAGCCACCGATTCACCTACTTTCCGAACGTGTCGTACCGATGGTGACCTTGGGGATGTGTCACTCCCTGCACATGTGCCTTTTTCCTGTCTGGGCGCGTCCTGACAGGGACGTTCGTTTCCACATGTGCTTGTTGAACTATGCCCGTGGACCCTTACGCAGGCTGTGTTGGAGAATCTGGTTCGTGTTAGACCGCACATGTGACCACCTGCATTCCCATTAAGCGGCCTGAACACCAGGGTCAGCACGCCAGAGTTACTGAGCATGGGCATCAGTTAGGTAGACGCAGTCCAACAGTTTGGACCTTAAATCTATGTGGCACCGTCACAAGCCGCAACCGAGGCATGCATACATGGTTAGTTAAAGTGGGCTAGTAACCAGCTTGGTATTTACAACAATGATACTGTAGTAGATTTAACACACCGGAGTGCGAAATATTTGCTTCGGCAAATGAAAGTAAATTAACAGGGAACTCGGTCATGTATGCAGCAGACAAACAGGTAGTACGTGCTTTTGGTAGGTAGGACCTAGCTCATATATACATGGAAAATGCTGGGCGATGTCTCGGTTTTTTTTAGGCCAACCTTTCATCAGGCCAAGTGACTAGGTTATGAGGTTGGTCGAGATTCAAGGCGAGAGCATAATCAATCAGTTAAGTCAGGCTTAATCGGTGATGTCTCGGTTTAGGCCAACCTTTCATCAGGCCAAGTGACTAGGTTATGAGGTTGGTCGAGATTCAAGGCGAGAGCATAATCAATCAGTTAAGTCAGGCTTAATCGGTGTTTTAATTGTTGGCTAAGGAATTTCGTTTCTAAGAGTCCAGCTCAGGGTTTAGTTTTTCCGGTTTGCTTGGTGCAAAAGTCCCTCTTGAACCTCGTTTACACTTTTTGACTGACTGATATGCTAAAACCATTTGAGGGGAAATCAAAAGCCCTCATTGGGAATTCGTACAACTTTGCCAATGAAGTTAAAGTCGTCGTTATCAGTCAACTGGAAAAAGTTTGGAACTTACTGAGAAGTCATCGTTCCGGAAGGGTTTGGTAAACAATCGGTAGTTTTTAACTGGGTAACGTTTCGATTTTGACACAAGTGAACAGGTCACCAAGCTTCCCAGGTTTTAAGGCAGACGGAAAACTAATCAGTAAAACTTCTTCATATTTGTGCACTAGATCAGTTTTGAGTATCAATAAACGGCTCTTGTCGGTTAGTGTGGTTGTCAAAACCTTTTGTTAATGGACTGGGGGAGTTTCAGACTAATTGTGATCGAGTTTGTTTCCTTAGTCTTCCACTTCAATGCGCTTCAAGTGATGATTCACCGAGGTTACCGCTGATAGATTTCGTTGGTCTTTGTGGGGTTGTGAGTGCTGCGACAATTTAGTTGGGGGGAGGGGTGTGAGGTCAAGTGGAATTCAGATGACTCCTTCTCCTCCGGATGACCGCACGCCAACACGTGTCGACTGATCCAGAACCCTTCTCCACAAGCTTGCCAGTTCCACGCCTTCTATTCTGTTCATACTGAGATGCTTGGCGATTTCTACCGCCTCGGTCATCAGTCTCTTTGACTTGAACCGTAGTCCTCGTGCCAAAACCTCAGCAGTTTCTAAATCTGTTTTGTCCCATGTCCAGTGCATGTTCTGCAAATGCCGAGTCTTTTAGTGACGCTTGATATTCATCTGCGTTTCTCGGCGGCCTGTTCATTTTTCTCTTTTGCTCTCCGATTCTGCTGTGAAGTTCCCTGGCCGTCTGTCTTATGTAGGCCTTAATACAGTCGTTACTCTTGATTTTGTAGACACAATACCTAGTCCTGTTTGACGAGAGGCGAGAGCACCAGTTCAGAGCGCAGTTTGTTTTTGGAACAGCTGTTTATTCACAAGAAAATAATTCTTCCAATGGAGTCTCCAATACCCCAAGTTTTAGCTAATATTTATAAGCAGGGATCTGAACAAATGGCTTTGGCTGGATATCCTCGTCTGCAGAGCATTTTTGGCGTTGTGTTGACGATAACTTTGTTGTAAGCACGAATAATCATGTGAAAAACTTCCATGACCATCTCAGTACTTTGGATACTCATATCAAATTTAGCGTGAAGATATATTTCACTTCGGGCACACTATACTTTCTGGACTGTATGAGACATCTGATTGGCGAAAAATTAAAAATTACTATCTACGGGAAACCAACAGGCACAGCGACCACCTCAACCTACTCATTAGCACACCCAAAGACCGTGTACGCCAATATTGTCCCATCGAAATTTGTTCGAGTCAGATCAGCTGCTGGCCTAGCGGTGGAAATCAGCAAGCCTTACAGCGTGAATAGAATCGAGGGTATAGAACTGTTAGAGAGTGGTCTTAGATAACACATGTTGACAGTTGAGTGTATTTGACAGTAGCTGTGCCAATAAACGTATAATCACTAGCAAAACGGGGTAGAAATCCCAACCCAACCAAAGTCCACAAAATCCCTCTCTCTTATTTAACTATCGTAGCTCATCCATACAGACAGACGAAAAGTGTAAACGACGTTTAAGAGTAACCTTAACCGGAAAAACTAAGCCTTACGCTGAACCCAAATCCTTGTAGGTTCCCCATCGGTTTTAACACTGTTTGACCAACTATAACAAACAAAACCTCTTAGCCGACACCTAATACCGGTTTAGCATGACTTAGATGATTAGTCCTGCTTTCGCCTTGAATCTTGACCTAGTCAACTGCGTCAAGAACAAGACGGTGCCCAGCACTGATCTTTTCCCAACACAGAACGATTTTGGGAGTTCAAACACACATCGTAGAAATACTGCGTACAATGGCTAATCACAGTTTGGTCAATTCTCGCCACGATGTTTACATCGTCGCATGTTTGGATGTCTGATATCCTCTAGAGACCTAAAGCTGGTCTTCCAACATTAGTTTGTCCACTGACGGATCGATATGTGTTTGCTGATGCACAATAAGTCCAAAGCGACCTGCGTAAGTTCCAGCTATTTTCATCAGGTGAAAATAGCAATTAACGATTATAGCAACAGTGATCAACAAGCGTTTCTCTCAGTGAAAAGTTGGAGAACTGCGATGAAGACACAGGAAATAGAACCTTGAGAAGACCAATGATCTTGAATTAGGGTGAACTGGCCTACCGATGTGATGAAACAAAGCCATTTCCTTCCTACCAAAAATGAACCTGAAAATGGGGGGATTCCCAATGCATCTATTAAGACATAAAACTGCATCGTTCCGGTACACAGTCGTAATAGAACTGGAACGTGCAGGTACTGAGATTTTAGCGGGTTGGTCAAGTTACGACAGGAGTATCCAAGCGGCCGTCGATGGAGCTCGATCCAGTGTGGCCGTATTTTCGGGGATTCACTTTTCAGGAGGCAATGGTGGAGGTTTTGGGCCTGGAAAAAACTCCCAGTCATTCGCGCTGATTGTCTGTTAAACTCATCGTATTCATAACCCAAGAGTACTTCAACCTTGGTGAAGCAGATTTAGGGTTAGCCGTGGAGACCCAAACCAGAAAGTGGATTGCTGTGAAGTGTGGCGCACAAGGGCTAAAGATACTGCAGAGACTAGTGGGCATGAAACAGTTCCAGTGATTTAGTTTGTAATGCCATGACTCGTCATCAGATTGATTGACCCATAGTTTTGGATTAGGAACTGGGAAACAGGACAAAAGACTCACTACTCTAAGTCATTCCCCATCACTAGGCTGCTCATGCAGGTCGTAATACTAAACCCTAATTCATCACTGTAGTTGATAATCGGATGTGTTCAGTATTGTTTATCGCAATGGTGTGTACTTTACGAACACATTTTCTTGCAGAGCCAATTTCAATTCGTCTGTGAAATGATCCTCAAAGTCTTTCAACGTAAGTCACTTAAGATTGCGTTCAATATGTTCTCGGTTTTAGTTCAGTTACTTTGTGAACGTGGGAACTAACCATCCGTTTTATAGGCATTTTGAGTTTGATTGTCAATACTACCTATAGCACAATAAGGTCAGGGACGGAATTATATCTCCATGTGGAATGCGGGGAGTAAAGCTGGATGGACGAATCACGGATAAACCACTCATGTGACCTCTAAATTGGTTTGGACACAACCGTGACTTCAATTGAAGGTTGCTGAAAGCTGTTCGACAGCTGATAACCAGTTTCGGCCTTCTTGGGGCTCACCAGGCAGGCGCAGTCCCCGAGTATACGGTAACCCTACGTTGTGCGTGGACCTACAGTGCGCAAAATTCGACAAACAGACCTATTAATACCAATTTAGTCGTGGGCCATCGAAGTGTTCAACAACCTTATGGGTAGTTTCCTTCACAAGTATATACTGCGATATCTCGAACACCGTATCAACTTAAACATGAGGCAGTCTTCGTGCAGCACAATCAGTTGAAGAAAAAATCACAAAGCAGAAACTGTGCTGAAGTTCCGGCAAGTTTCCCGTGAAAACCAAATGGGTATGCATTTGGGTGTATTTGGCAAAGCTTGACTTGTAGATGTTCTGCAATCGAATGTGAGACAAAAATGCAGCCTCAGATTTCGGTAGATACAGCTTCTGATAGATTAAAACGGAAAAAAGAGCCTATTCATAAGGTAAGGAATAATTTGTACTGCAAATGCCTGAGAATATGTGCTACCCTAGCCATTTACAAGCGCTCTTTTGTGGTATTTTGATGTTAATCACGACCAAAATAGATACATTCGTGTACCACCGTCGTTTATTAGAAATAAAATAGACATTTTATGGAAATCATCTTCGAAATTCATAAGTTTTGGCCACCACTTATCCTCGGGACTGAAAAAATTCGCAAACTGCGCAAAGGCATCTGCATGTCCGTACGGCCTACGTTGCCTATTGAAAATGTCTATCCTTCTCACCTATAATTCTCGCATTTCCCTACCACAGGTGATCAAGGCGACCAACCGCACAGCTGACGTTGGCAGAGGTCCCGGCTTATTGGCTGCACCTGTCCCAATCTCGATCGTTCTCTGTACTATTATCAATAACTCACTGAAGTGATAAACTGTAGTACCTTTTTTCGTCTGCAATTTCGGTTTTTTAGATTCTCTTATTTAAAAATGGCGATCGAGTAGGGAGGGGCCTTCTCATGAAGCCCTATGATTTCACGAGTTTTTGACTACTCGTGAGTAAGCCGTTTGTACGATAATATTTGGGCCGCGCTGTGCTTTGCTCCCCCAAATGCTGTGATTCGGCACGTGTCGCTGCTCAAATATACCCATATTACATATCACTTGTAGCAGAAACTTCTCCAAATCTTGGAGCCGCTGCATCATATCTTTTGAGATGTTCCAATTTTCTCTTCTCTACTCACTGACTTTCTGAAGTTGCACATAAAGGTACTTTTGGTCAATTCCATCTTTTTCTGTCATACCTTAGCCGAAAAATGGGTACGTGATAAGTCACAGATAAAGGACGAAAAAGACGGCAGTGTGCGCAGGGCATCGTTGAAAAGAAACCACTGACAGCTGCGTATCACGTATCAGTCAATGCTATTCCCCGAATGGTGCTAGATTGGCGGCTTTTGAGAATAAATGACCTCTCAGTCGGTGCGTTCTTGACTTCTTTCCCCAAGGTCATACAGCTCCTGCGTTATAGTCCCGATCATACATTCTCTATGCTCAACTGGTACCTGCTTGCATTGTCAACCTACTAGAGTCCTATTGAATGCTAAGAACTTCGTAGACTTCTTGTAGATTGAATCGGTTTGTGGGCGTACCCCGATAGTGAATAAGTGAACACGCATTGTCCTCAGCCGGACATACCTAATTGAGCATGAAAGTCCATATGATACATACTGACATTATTCCATGTTTTGATTGGATTGGGCGCACGCCAGAACGATACAAGCCATTGCTTAGGGTAGCAGGTTATTGTTTAATCATTTACAAGGATACAATCTCCGAAAATGATCGCAATAAATAGATCCCAACGAGCACAACCCAACGCTGTCAATCATCATTCTATATGATCCGATGTATCTCCACATAATCAGATGCATTGTTCCCTGAAATTTCGAGAGACAAAAACGCGGTTGTACTCAGCTGCGACGAGAATCGGCCGTTACCTATCCCATAGAGCCTTGCGCCAGTCGAAAATTGGTAGCGTTCCATTCATCAGATAATTTGTTCAATATACTGACTCCATGAGAACAACAGTGGCATCAAGATGTCGTACAAACCTAAAGAAAGCATCCGTCACAAAATGCATGAAACTTTAAAAACGAAGAAATGAGACAAGGACGAATGAACGAATAAAACGACACAGTTGAGAAGTCAGATACAAAAGCACAGTCGGAGTACTCTCAAGTACACACAAAATGGAATGAAGAGAACAGATCTAACGATCCTAGACTAGATCACAAGGTCCAATGAGTTCGGTCAAAGCCTTGGGCGATTCCGTGGATAAGACGTTTCGCCTCCTCCTTGTTAACAGCTTCAAAGACGAAACAATGGAAGCGTTTTGCGATGCTACATGGTTCCTCACCTACGATGTAGGCTAGGTAGTTCGTGTTGTCCGTCCGCCGGCCGCAAGAGGAAATCTGAGGAAATGAATGTTGAAACATGGGTGGTTTTGTTGGATCAACAGTTCCGGTACGTGGGTGCATATTCCAGATTGCGATTCCAAGTTCACCTGTGAACGATGAAGGAAAACCGTGCAAACATGAGTAAATATGCCTCAACTGTTGCAAGAGTCCAGAGGAAGTGTGAAAAGGGATATCCGAAACGGATGCAGTGGACAAAGAGGCGAAGCGGCACACTAATGCATAATTGCCAAACGAAATCAATGTCCTTGTATTTCAGGTTCAGGAGTGAAGTTGAAAGACTAAAACCTGCATATACAGCTCCTGTTTCGAAAAAGTTGGTCTGAACCGCTCCGAACTAGGATAGCAAATCTCTCCTTGGCCTGATTCTCCAATATAATCAACTAAAATATTTGCAACGCATAAGGTTTGTCAACCTCTGTCGGATAAACGTACGAGTGTAAGAGTCACTAAAAGGTGGTGGTATACTTTGTCCGATATATGCGCTCAAACTCTGTCACGACCTGGTAGTGCCGACCATATATTTGTAAGCTATGGTTTCTGGGGCATACAAAATGACTGATTCAACCGATCACTCCAACAGAGTTTACGGTACGCTTTATTTTCGTACTGCCTGAATGAACTTTTCCGTTTAGGGTCACATCGCAGCAAGGCAACGAACAGTGTTGTGCAAAACCAAATATAACTGCATACCTTGTACTATTTTAGCGATGGAATAATCTACACTAATAGGTCTACAAGCTTGGGCTTTTCTCCGTTTCTCGTCACGCCAGTTTTTTGTTTTCTATTCACCAAGGTGTTGGAATGAACAACATTGTGCTTCGTGACCTGCACAAGCGGTCTTCCGATCCTCNTGGTTATGTTGTGCCACAGAATGCTGAATCTAAATCCGTCAAATATGGTAGGCTCCCTCGACAACGTGACCTTTCACAACAAACCCCACACCAGAGCAACCGATTTTGGTCATTCCCATCAAGTATTTATGAATAAAATGAAGCGAGTTCTCATGTCTCTGGTGACACCAGTCAGGTTGTCACCAGTCACTCTCTTACTTCTTGAGTGAACGCTAATATCACGTTGATACACATTTTAATCAGGTACAACAGCCGGCGTTCAGTCCTCTGGAGCAACCGTTTTCGACTGGTACCTTCAGGGATTGTTGTGAGAGTTCCGCTGTACCACTGATCACCAGTAGTCATCAGCATTAGAAGACCAGTAGCGTCCATTCGCACCGACACCAGCGACTGAGAGAGACAGTAGAGTGTGACACCCGAAACAAGAAGACCATTCCTTAGATTACCACTGTGTAGACAGTGACCCCATATACCCATAAAAATCTTCCATCAAGCACTAACGGATTGAAGTTGGACAACTCCGAAGCGCAGTGGTAACAATACTTGAAACCGGAATGATAGGCGTGTAGCATGTCCAGGGATTAGCCACCAGCACGCCGTCGGGCTTTAAGCATACCAAACACAAGACACCAAGAACTTCTTCATGTGTGATTTTGTGGTCGCATCAAGGTTGTAATGGAATGACGACCCAAGGTAACGTCCTACGATCGATATGGGTGTGTCGCAAGTCAACGTGGCATCGACACCTGTGTTCTGACACCGACATGGACAACGATTAGTCAATTGATTTTCATTCGCTGTGAGGCACGGTTAGAGTGAGTAGACACATTCCTGTCCTGCATTATTTATCCCTTGTGGCCAAGGGGTTTGCATGTAATCCACAACTTAGCACCAAATAACGAAAAAATGCGGATGACATAATCGTGGTGCCAAAAAATCTCCACTGCTTTTTCACTGGTTTTCAGCATTTACTTGTTTGCTCTTTAAGTGACATCGCAAACCATCCGAAAATTCACTAAAAATTGAAATTTACTGGGTTTTCAGAGGGATGCATGAGTATATCCCATCAATGTGATGCAATAAAAACTGGATACATTATCTCCCTCTATCAAAACTACCTAAGGGATCGGCGAATATACACTCATTTGCAAACTAATTTGGTTTTTCGAGAGACTCACCCGGAACCCATCAACCTTATGAGTAGTACATTGCAGATATTCATGTATCGCGACATCTCGAACATCGTAGCGACTGAAACATGAGGCGGCCTGGTGCAGCACATTCAGTTGCCTGAGAACATCA